AAAACCTTGAGATTACCCTTTTTTTTTTCTGACGTGTAGAAAATGATAATATGACTTCGAATATGATAACAAATATTAAAAAACATTAATTTTTTTCAAAAGTCTTACTTTTTTTTCCCACTTTAAGACTTTGAGATTGTTTTTTCTTTAGAGTCTAGAAAATAACAACAGGATTTGTAATATAATAACAAATACTAAAAAAGACACTAATCTTTTTAGAAAATATTGCTGTTTTTTTTACTTTTAAGAGCTTGAGACTATTTTTTTTCTTTTGAGTGTAGAAAATAACAATAGGATTCAAAATATGATAAAAAATATTACAAAACACTAATATTTTTTAAAAATCTTGCTGTTCTTCCTTATTTTAAGACTTTAAGACTGCTCTTTCTTTAAGAGTGTGAAAGATGACAATAGAATTTAAAATATAATAACAAATATTAAAAAATACAAATCCACTAGTCTTTTTGAAAAACCTTGCTATTTTTCCCACTTTAAGACCTCAAGACTGCTTTTTCTTTGAAGTGGAGAAAATGACAATAGGACTAGTATTTTTTTTAATCAAGGATAGGACATTTATTTTATAAATCAAAATTAGTATTTTTTTAAAAATTTATAATTAAGGATATAATCTTTGTAATCTGTCTAAAAAAAATTAAGTAAATGTGCACAAGCTTAGGGATGGACACTTGAGCAAGAAGCTCGAGTGATATATTTTCACAAATGATCTCCCTATAATTCATTTTTCTCATTTGAACAAAATTATTGCATGCAAAATTTTAATTATGAATTGGGTATCCTCGGAGGAGATTCTAGGTTTTACAGGCCAAGTCTTACCCCTCTCATGTACCCTACCCAAGATCTTGGACCATGCACATAGTCTTTCCTTTGACTTTTTACCCAATGCCTAGTTTGTGGTACAGTAGTGCTAAAAATTTAATCTTTTTTTTCAATCACACCACCCACAAATCTTCACTAGCTCATTTAAATGCATCACTTCCATTTTCATAAATTCTCATTAATCCATTGCTATGATTTCAAAAGTCAAAGTATTGAGTAACCATCATTTCATAACATGTAGCAACATGTGTATTTTTTTACTTTTTAATTTAGACATTATTGTATTCAATCATGCAATAGGATTGTCTCACATGATATATCCCTTTTGTTCAAGTAAGGTGCCTAATAATTATTTATTTTAATCATGCACTATTATACCATGATTGTATAATAGATGTGCATATTACATTTGCTCACTTGAGCACCATTGTATATTATGGTCTAATAGGAATGCATATATCACATGTATTTTATTGTATGGGCACCATTATACCTTATTGTATAATAGAAGTGCTATATAAAATTTCAATTAAGCACCATTAGTCTCACCACCAATAATACTACAAAAAGGATACCTCTTCTTAAAAATTTTTCCATCCATATGCAATCTCCAATGGTGGAAATATCTCAAATATGAGATTTTTACATTTATCAAATAACTGAGTTTATAAAAAAAACTATTTGCTCATAAGATTTTTTTATAAGAACATATTAGCTCATTTCATACATTATCGTCACAAATGGCTCATTTCATATATAATTGATCACACAAGTTTAGAAAGTTAGATTACATATCCGCAATATACCAACCAAAACTTTATGACAATTTTTGTCAAAATACATGGACCATCTATATAAGAAAAAAATTTATATGGAATTGATCTCATACCTTTTTTTTGAGAAACTCAACAAAGCATACAATTTCAATTTTTTTATATAAATATATGAAGTTTAGGAGTGGCTTCTCAACAAAGCACATAACTTCAATTTTTTTGTATAAATATCTGGAGTTTAGAAGCAGTTTCTCAACAAAGCATATAATTTCAATTTTTTTTTAAATAAATATATGAAGTTTAGGAGAGCTAGCTGCCTTGATATGAGAAATATTAATGCTCTTAAATTATACAGTAATTATAATGCAGCATACATACTTAGAGACTACAAACTTGCATTAGCAAATTTAAATATAAAAAAAAAAAAATGATTGATCAATACATTTACATTTTGAAAAATTTCTTCTAACTATTGGAAATATGTCACTAATTAAGTATTACATTAAGAATATTAGAACACATATTTTACATGTATTGCCAAACGCAAAATATAAAAGAGGGCAATGTATTGCATCCTCTTCTTCCTTATTTAGCTCTTAGAAAATATATTTTATAAGTATCATACCAACATTTCAATCAAAACATATAATTCAAACTACTAGTCCCATACATACAAACATAGCCAAGTAATTAAACTACATACCCAAATCTGATCTCAATATCTCTCAAGTACGATTAATTTCAAGGGAACATTCATTAAGTATCAAAAAGAGTTAGATAAACAAGATGTACTTATTTCTTATGCGGATTGAATCATTTTGAAATTGTTATTTCTCAAATATTTTCCTTTATTTTTACATCAGGTCATTGTTGTATCTCAATCACAAAATCAATAATTTTTTTGACAAAACAAAATCAATAAAATTGATAATTAGTGAACCTATTAAAAAGCTTAGTTGCTTTAAGTTACATGTTTCACATCTCTATAGATAGGAGATCTACTAGCGTAGCAGAAAAATATACACAGCATGCCATCCTACAATACTACAGTTTTATAATAGTTTTCTATAAATCTGTATTATCTATAAAGTAACCTAATTCAAGACACATTGTTTACCTAAGAATATTTAAAAAAATAAAATAATGTATGAAAGTAAAGAACATAGAGGAACTTTCTTATTTGAGCAAAGTAACATGTATAAATTTCTTAAAATATACTTAATAAAACTCTTCTTATGTTATTTTATCAATGTCATTTTAATAATTTCCTTGCAAGAACTACACTTGAATAGTATTGTTAGACTCAAACAACATGTAACTCTAAAAAATAATATAATATTTAGAGAAATTAAAAATGTACTTATTTTATTATAATATTATTGTTAAGGCACAAATATTATCTAGTTTTAAGGAGTATTTTACTTGAAATACCAAATAGATTGTATTCTGATTTCCTGCAGTGGTCAACATGGATTTGTGGTAGCTATAACAGGTATAGAGAATATTGGGAAAGGCTTGATTCATGATGGTACAGGATTTGTAACATTCCCTGTGAAGTATCAATGTCTTGTCTTTAGACCATTTAAAGGCGAGATCTTAGAAGCTGTTGTGACCATGGTCAACAAGGTAACTGTTTTCTATTTGCTAGACTCCTCACTTAATGATAAGATTATCTTATGAACCATGGATTTCTACTGCTTTACCGATAACTGCATTTGTGATTCCTACAGATGGGATTCTTTGCAGAAGCTGGACCTGTTCAAATTTTTGTTTCAAACCATGTAAGTATTTTTCCCTTTTTAATAAGGTTTCTGCTCCAAGAGGATAGCTATATTCATCTTGTGACAAGCATTTTCATTTTTCCATTCAAATCTATGCCCTCTGTGAGATGTCAATTTGCTTGGGAGTAATGCATTTTCTTTTTTTGTTTATTGCTTATGTTGTGGCTATTGTTGATGAAACTTGAATTTTCTGTACCTTGATGAAATTTCCAGGGTCTAAGGATTTAGTGTTTTCATCGAGCACATCTATGTCCAACAAGAAAAATAGAACTCCTTTGATTGAATTAACTACCGTGTCTAGCAATTGACATGGAAGAGCTAACATGTTTTGTTTCCCTTTTTTTTTTCTTTTTTGGAAATGCTTTACTTCTTGAAACTTACCAATTGATGTATGGTGAAGCTTACTAATGAGGAACCTAGGAACTCCACTTTCACACACTTAACAAGCTACATAAAAAGCAAGACACTAATACCAAATACAAAGAAACATAAATTTGATAAATTAAATAAGTTATTTATCTGATGCAACAAAACAGCATATTACTCACAAGAAACTTATTACATATATTAAACATAATTCTTTAGGGTTGGGCCAATCTCTGTAGAGAATGTTCCAGGATTCATTTTTTGCAGGGTGGATTACAAAATTGGGTGTCTTTAATTGCTCGTACTTTATGTCCTTGACATGTGATTAACTGATTATGCCATATATGTCTTCTGCATCTCTATTGATAATGTTTTTTGTTTTGGTAGTTGATTCCGGATGATATGGAGTTTCAATCTGGAAATATTCCCAATTATACTACTTCAGATGGATCGGTATGGTTTAGCCAGATAAAAAAGTTACAGAGCAAAACCTGAGAAACATGAGAGTCTGCAAATTGTCATCCAGAGGTACTAGCGGTGTCATCATCAGTAGCATCTTCACCCTTGGTTCGCCTTTGCATTTGCAAGGCTCATTTCTGCAGAAATTTGACATGAAAAATAGATTAAACGGTTAACAAAATGTCAACGCTCTTGGAATCAAATCAAATCAAAAGCAGATGAAGAAAACTTTTACCAGTCTGGATATCAGTATCGGGCCCCTCAAATATTTGATTGTGAAAGTGAGGAGGACTGACACTTTCATAATGCCCATACTTGCTCTCATCTTTCACCCAGTCACTTGTGTAGCACTGAAGCAGTTCCTACAAATGAGGCCACTGCTCCAAATAAAAAAGAGAAAAAATTAATGGCAAATCATTTTAGACTTTCTACAGGAAGCGAAGCACAGTGTTCTTAAAACTGCTTCTCAGGCCAGCTGATTTCAGCCTGTAGATGGGTACAAGCTGAAACTAAAAATTTGTAGCTTTCGAAGAACCTAAATTTGGTAAATTAATTTTTCCGAAATTATTTCACATAATTCCAACGAATCAAACAGCATTTTAAGGGAAAACACAGAAGAGAGTATTAAAGATGG